GGGGGGTGGAGACAGTGATAAGGTTTTGTGATGTGATGATTTTATAATATTAAGAATATAAATAAATATCCATATGTATATATGTATGGAGGATTAATAAAAGACAATATTTTGTCCGATACCATCTAATATTCCAAGAAGGGAATTCCCTAACCAACTGTGCTACAGCGGTGGGCGTTAAGTTCTTTAGTTTTAGTACCTGAAAGGAATCAACGGACAAAGCATAATCAGCTAAGATTGACCTTTCATGTTCTTTCTGTCTGGTCTTTAGACACTTAGAGCTGACCCTGCTCATCAGGTGATGTCCGGAGCAGGGGATTGCACGGTCTGCTAGCCTCACTTTATTATTGTCATAAATCTAGACGTCTAGACTGGGATAAAACCCTGGTTACTATTCAACATCCAGAATACTTAATTAGTTTTGCTTTTGACGGCGCAGAGGTGGTTACGAAGTGGACCACGAAACGGAAATTCGGAATGAATTAGAACGTGGTCTTAATCCCGTCCTTTCATGAATATTTCTTCCTCTAAATCCGGTGTCTCGAAAAGGACAAAACGGTTCCGCTTTCGATAAGATATGTTTTGTATGTCTCACCAGGCGTGCAGTGAACCAGCATAAAAAGGCAGCCCCTCCAAACCATCTCCTCAGCCTCCCGTCCCTAAGTACCATCGATTATATGTTACAAACAAGGCCATCTTGTAATAAAATCCCTAATACACAGAAATCCCTAATACTTAGAAAAGAATTGTTGAAAAGATGAGTTAAGTTTAAAATGTATAGATCTAGCTTTTGAAATAACGAACTGTTGGGACATGCTTAGATAAGTTTAGAAATTCAGGTGAAATACAAAATGAACAAAATGACTGAAATGCAACCTCAATGTTTGGAAGAATGCTTTTTTGAAATATTTTTGCAACATCCTTTAAACAACAACAAAAACAACAACAACAATAACAACAACAACAACAACAACAACAACAACACTAAGCTAAAAATATTCGCTAATAGTTTATTGCTGGTGAATGAAATTAGCGGCATCAACTAATTCCAAGTCTCTCCTCACAATGACGTCACATACATGATGACTCAGACTCACATGGAAGATGTTTTCGAGGCCAAATGATTACGCATGCAAGCGATCAAAATCTTGAATACCTCGGTTATGGCTTACCACTCGGAAGATCGACTTCCTTGA